CCAGTCTATGGTATTTGGTTATAGCAGCCCAAGCTAAGACAGATTTTATCAGGATCAGGACCTGTGTCTCAGAGTCAGCCTCATTACGGAATGTAATGGCTAGTTTCAGCTCCCCCCAGAAGACTTAACTTTATTTGAGGCAAGTTTTACTGTGTTTATTGAAGCTATACAAAGCATAATAAAATTTACATTTTAGGGGCGCCTGGGTGGCTCAGTCGGCTAAGCATCTGCTGTCGGCTTAGGTCATGACCCCAGAGGCCTGGGATTGAGCCCCACATTGGGCTCCCTGCTCAGTGGAGAGCCTGCTTCTCCCTCTCCCTCTGCTGCTCCCCCTGCTTGTGATCTCTCTCTCTGTGTCAAATAAATAAGTAAAACCTTTTTAAAAAATTTACATTTTATAAAGTGACTACCATTTATTCACTCTGAATTTTATTTGGCTGCTATTTCTCTGTTAGGTCGAGTTCCATGATTGAACACAGTAAATATTTATTATGTAACTTTTACATATTGGATTCATTCTGGATCAGGGGATATTGGACAAAATGCCTGTCCTCATAGAGTTTATATTCTAGTAGGAGGGATGGGGTGGGGGGAAACAGAATAGACATACAATAAACATGTAAACAAATAAACATGTACTATGTCAGAGAGTGACCTCCAGTTCTGGCCATGACAAACCATTTCATATCTGATTAACTATCTCATCAAAAACAACTACAGGAAAACATGAAGAAGGCACTGGAGAACAACCAAGTATGACAGATTACAATGCTCAAAGCAGGAGAACACAGGAGGTCCACATTTACCCTGTCACTTTCCCTAAGCACATTTTCCAAAAGGCAGCACATAGGAAAAGTGTCCAAGCTGAATGGCAGTCTTAACCAGGTAAAGAGGCAACAGTCAGTATTTGGAACTGTCAAAGCATTTTGGACTTGAGGGACAAAACCAAAGAAAGAAGAGAATCACAAAGAAAAAGCCTAAAGATCTTCATGCAAATTCCCAAGTCATAGTTTTCATGGACAGTGTAAGAGAAGAAGAAGAAGAAAGAAGAAAGAAGGAAGAAGGAAGAAGAGGAAGAAAGAAAGAAAGAAAGAAAGAAAGAAAGAAAGAAAGAAAGAAAGAAAGAAAGAAGAGGAAAGAAGAAGAAGGAAGAAGAAGAAGAAAGGAAAGAAGAAGAAGAAGAAGAAAGAGGAAGAAGGAGGAAGAAGGAAGAAGAAGAAGAAGAGGAAGAAGAAAGGAGAAAGAAGAAAGAAGAAGAAAACAAATAAAGAACTCTGGGGGGAAAAAAAACAGCAACAGGATGGCTAAAGAGCCACACAGAGCCTTTAGCAGCTAACAGTTACTGGGGAAACAGGTTGGAGTTCAAGAGGGAGTGATCTTGGTAAACATTCAAGCTTGAAGTTGAGATCCTAGAGTTGCCGAGGAGCAGTAGCTATGTCATAAAACTAAGGAGACAAGCTTAAACAGACCAGACTTAACAATGCTTGCAATCAAGTTTCAAAAGAATCAAGACAATATGCCAATTTTCTAGCTGACTTCCAGAAGAAAATTTGCCCTCTTCAGAGGAAGATAGTAACAGTTCAGAGTTCTTAAAATGTTTCATCTATGATGTTCATCATCCAATCAAAAAATTATCAGAAATGCTTAAAAACAACAACAAAGAAACAACAAAAACAGGGCCAAAGGACCCCAAATCACGCAATATGGAAAAAACAGACAATGGAAATGGACCTGGATGAAAAATCTCAGCTGAAAATGGAATCTACCAAAGGGAACCAAGTCGAGAGTGGAATCAAAATGAATACCATTAAAAATTTACTAGGTAGGCCTAACCACAAACTGGAAATTGCAGATGGGAGGATTAGGTAACTCAAAGATAGATCAATAAAAATCATACAATCTGAAAAGGTGAGAAAATGGTTGAAAAAATAAAGAGCTTCAATGATACTTAGGAAAGTATCAGTCTAACAAACATGAACTTGGAATTCTATAGGGAGAGGAGAAAAAGAAAGGGATAGAAAAAGAAATTAAAGAAATAGTGATGAAAAATTTCCTAAAGTTGGCCAAAAAAAGAAAAAGAAAAAAAAAGACTTACAGATTCATAAAGTACAATAAACCCCAAGTAGGATAAATACAAAGAGAACCACACCTCAGCGCATTATTAATTGGACTACTGAAAAATAAAAACACAGAGAAAAACTAAAATATAAAATGAAATAATAAAGAGGAAGGGGAAAATCTTAAAAGCTGTGTGGTGGGGCAAGAGAGGATTACACATAATTTACAGAGAAAGGACAGTGCAAATGGCAGCTGATTTCTCATCCGCAACAACAGGGTCCAGAAGACAATGACATGACATTTTAAAGCAGTTACAGAGCAAAAGAAAAAGTCAACCTAGAATTCTATACCTAGTGAAAATATCTTTAAAAAAACAGAGTAAAATAAAGATAATTCGTTAAACAAAAGGTGAGAGAATTCATTGGAATTCCACTGGAAACAGTGGAAAATACCATTGGAAACATTGAAATGTGTTTTTTTTTTTTTTAAGATTTATTTTTTTGAGAGAGAGAGAAAGAGTGTATGAGTGGTGGGAGGGGCAAAAGGAGAGAATCTTCAAGCAGACTCCCCACTGAGCACAGAGGGGGATGCCAGGCTTGATCTCAGGACCCTGAGATCATGACCTGAGCCAAAACCAAGAATCTACACTTAATCATCTGAACCACCCAGGCACCCCTGAAATGTGTTTTAAATAGGATTTAGCTACTTTCAGTTTCAGTTAATTGTCCTAATTCTCTAAATTTTCTAGGCTAGTCATATGTGCTGATAGGGTTTAGGACAACTATTCAAAGTTTATAACAAAGAGATTATTTCTGTTTTAATGATACTGGGCTAGGTATAATATAAATGGCTATTTGCCAGAAGTGGGGAAGGGAATTTACCTTGAATTCATCCTAACGATTACCACAGAAACAGAGGTAGTGATTTTTTTCTATCCATTTAGTTGCAGGCAAAGAAGCTAGAATGTAGAGTGTACGTATAGTTAGAACTACTTCCAGAAGGAAGTTCTTGTTCAGGATGGGCTTACTACAAAATGACAGGAAGTTTAAGAGAACTGGCTGAGCATGGGTATTGGAAATGAGAAGGAAAGGGGGGATGGAGTCTTTTGTCTGCTATAAAGCATAAAACTGTGGCTCCTAGCACAACAAGGCACAATGAATGTCTCAGGCAATCTGATCGAACACATTAGCAAAAAAGCAGAAGTAACATTTTCCTTTATGCACCAAACACGTGAAGTCCTCCCAAGAGTTACAATTCAACTCCACCTAATCGTGTTCCTATATTAGTGTATCAGGTACTTTTCTTTTAAGTGAGCCTTTCCAAGGCCATGCAAGGGGAACCCATGTTCCCTTCCTCAGGATTAAAAGATGAAGCCCATAAGATACACTATAAGCCAGGCCCCATAAATGGTTACCTGCCAGTGCCTAGACAGAACATCTTTTGTTTAAGCTAGAGTAATCCCCTGGAGGAGAAAGCAATAGGCAATTCATTTGCTTAGGCTGAAGTTGCCCCCTGACAATGAGAAATAAATACTCTAAATAATAGAAAACACCAAGTAGAGGAAGTATATCATATTGGATGACAGCATGGATTTTGGAACCAAACTGCATGAGTGTGTAAGCTGGTTCTGTCACTTAGTTTCTTTGTGACCTTACAACGTTCACCTTTGCATCTGTTTCTTTTTTTATGATGCTAAGGTGCCTGCCTCACAGTGGGCTGTTTTGACGATATAAAATATATGTTAAGGAAGAGTTAGTGGTATACAGATTAGCACAATTTAGGTTTGCTATGATTATTGAGATGAATGATGTAAAATCCAGCTCTTCAGTTTCACCTACTGATTCCAGAACCCGTGTATTGCAGAGCAACGGATTCTTCTGTATTAAAAGATATACATCCCTTGGTTTTCTAGGCAATTGTTACACCCCACAGCCACTATGAGGATGGTATTTCTCTGGGTCAAATGGTGCTCACCCCTTGCCAGCCACAAGAAAACAAGAATGCCAAGACCACAGTGAGGAGAGGCAAATGGGCTGTGGCAAAGGCAGTAGGTAAACAGGTGGCTTCAGAATGAGTTCTCAGTAGAAGGGGGCAGAGATGCCACCTCTTAAAATTGTTAGGGGTGGGGCACCTGGATGATTCAGTCAGTTAAGTGTCTGACTCTTGATCTCGGCTCAGGATTTGATCTGAGGGTTGTGAGTTCTAGCCCTGCTAGAACTGTGGAGCCTACTTAAAAATTGTTAGGGGTAAGGCGGGGCCAGAGAGCAGATTATTTGCACAAGGGAAGAAAGAGGCTCTCTCTAATAGGATCCTTGGGTAGAATTCCATATATATGTGTGTATATATATATATCCCATATATATATATTCCATATATATGTGTGTGTGTATATATATATCCCATATATATATAGTTCATATATATATATATATATATTTTTTTTTTTTTTTAAGAGAGAGTGCGCGCACGTGCGAGTGGGAGAGCAGGGGGAGGGGCAGAGGGAGAGAGATCTTAAGCAGACTCCACATTTAGCACAGAGCCCATCATGGGGGGATCAATCTCCCAACCCTGAGATCATGACCTGAGCTAGAATCGAGTCGGTTGCTTAACCCGAGCCACCCAGGCACCCTGAACTCCATGTATTTAAGAGAACATTTTATAATGCTTGTGACCTAGGCCCAGGGCAGGGTTTGATGGCCTGAAGTGACCTCTAGGCAAGGCAACCGGCCATGTTCATAAACCGTATAGAAATAACCCCTGCTCTGGCCAACCTCTCTGGCTTTTGCAATCTAAGGGAGTCTTTCCCAAGAGGACTCTCTTCTAACTCCTTAGAGGAGGTGGCAAAGCTGCCTGGTACTAAGTAGGGAAAGGGCAGTTGAAGACAAAGTGTAACCCCAGGAGTTTGGGTGCAAAGTCAAACATGCTCAGAAACAGATACTTACTCAGATGCCACTAGGACTGGGTTCTCTGCCAGTGTCAGGCCCAGGTATTACCAGGCATGGACTTTGGGGAGAAGGCTTCAGGGGAGGGACAGTGGGAAGAGAGCAACTGGCGTAAATCACCCATTAGCAAGACAAGTCATGCAAAAGAAGAAAACAAGAGTCAAATTTTTTTAAAAGATATTTCAGCAACACCTTCTTCCAGTGAAGTTTTATTACCATGCTCATTTCTAGTAGTCTTGGTCTAGTAGATGTTCTGCCAGCTCACGCCCACCTCTATGCTGAAAGCTTTTAGGACAGTAGGAACATTAGCTGATTCCTAATTCATTTCATGTCTCCCATGAGCAACACTATTTCACTTTTTCCTAACTTTTTTTTACTAAATTTGCTGGTCCCTACCCTCCAGTCTCTGCCCAGTTTATGGGGCATCCAGAAACTATCTAGTTAACCTGATTTAATTAAAATCAGACTCTGTATCCAGGTTATTAAATAGGCTAAAAGGCAGATCTTGTGAACGAAATTTTTATTTACACACTGTATCTAGAAGCAGATACATAAATTCTTATACAATTAATTTCCAAAAATGTGCAAGAAATTACCATAATTTGTTTACAAACCAAAACACATATTAAAATCAATGGACTTTGGATAATTCATTCTGTGGTGTTCTCAGTACAAATGGGACACACCTGATTTGAAACATACAGAAAAAGTGTAAACTACAGCAATCTGGACTGCAAGTATTAATTTCATGGCACTCCAGCGACTATAAAATTTCTTTAACCCAACATGTATACTTATTACAAAATTCTATAAGAATTCTTCATCATCTCTGGATGTAGAGTTTGCATCACTTTTCAGAAACAGCAACTAACACATTCACCACTTTATGACTGATCGATAAAAAGAATGCTTATTAAAAAAACCCTTCTTAAAGGATTTTAAAAAGTAGTAAAAGGAGCCAGATTTGTGATTTCTAACGTACCAATACTTTATTTTGGAATTTATAGTCATTTATGGAACTGGCAACTGTTCCTTATTAGGGTTTTCAACAGAACGGTCTGTTGCTGGTAGTGTGATTTCATTTTCAAATTAAGATTTCACATTTGATGACAAGCCATTAAGATTTAATATATATTGACTCATTCATGAAGCAAATTATCTCCTACAGAATGTGAAATGTACAATGATTAAAAGTGGCGTTTCTGAAAGCATCGTGAAGATATTCAGATTAGTAGCACTAGCAGGGACACTGCATATACCCTATTTAAGATTTCAGTAATTTTTATCCTGTTTCAGTAATACTGGCTCAGAAATTATAATGTATACTTTATGTTTATTTCCTATATGCCAATGATTTAGCCTTTTGGCACATGATTTTCTTCAACAGCAAGATGGTCGCCCCTGTAGCCGGTTTCCTTATAAACTATTTTTAGTTCTATGATCATTTCCTGTGATATGTTTTTGACCTTCTAGATTTTCAGATTATTGCACCAAGTAGAAAGAGAACAGTTTTCCTTAGAAAGAGTGAGATATTTTTCAAGTACTTTCTATGCTTTCTTATTATTTATAAAAATGCCTAATAGTGCCCTAGTAAGCCTAGAATTAGCTTCTGGCCTCTATCGTGTTTTGTGACGAAATGCTTGATTTAAAAAAAACGACTCTGATTCATTTACTGCGGCAAAAGGATACAGCTTTCCTGTTTTCTCTTTCTTGCCTTGAGCTCAGATTTTTTAGAAGCACATATTTAAAAATCACTTACAGGTTGTGCCCACGCCATCTAAACTGCCATTCAGTAGAATCCAGAAATTCACCCAAATGGTATCTGGACCAAACTACAGGATGGAGACTTCTCTCTCTTCTCCTTTCCATTTTTAAAGACTATTTTATTTTAGGATCCTATAAAGCCAGTCTTTCACATTATGTTGTGCTGCCTACGCCAAATGGTTCTCTCTACACAAAAGCAGAAAATATTGCAATACTCCTTTGTTTGTAAATAATTTCTTGGCAAATACTTTTATTTTATCAACACACTATCAGGCCCTAGCAATTTCAAACTGGATTAGAATAGGGCATTTCACCTTAAAGTATTAAAGCACATAAAAAACTGGCTTTCTGAATTAGAACAGCATCAAGACTTGCCCTCCATAAAACACAAAACACAATTTTAAAAACATGTAGATGAAAATCAAAATAATCTTAACTTGAAACTAAACAGCTAGATCTTGAACACATGGTATCATGAGGAACACGTGGGGAGCAGGCTATGCCCACATGATAAGACAGGGTTCAGGGCAGTCCAAAGACCTCTGTGCACCATGATCTCACAAAGAGTACATGTAAATGCTTCTAGAAACACAGAGAAGCCATCCCAACATTTATTATTAATACACAGTGACTCTGTGACAATACCTGCCATCTAATATAGATGCACAGGGGCTTTTAACTCACCCTAGATATATTTTAAATTGTTTAAAAATAAATAGTTTTGCAAAAAAATAGTTTAAATGTCTTGCATTAATTTGATAAGTTTACAACTCTGTAATAATTCTTAATCCAAATAGCTTATAGTGAACTCTTAAATTATATTATTACAGTATACTCCATATTCCATCTTACTGGGTGAAAACATATTAGAAAATGAAAGAGGAGTCTTTGTGACAAGGTACAATCAACATTCCACCAAAATTAAGTACCTTTTCCCCTTTAAGTCAAAATACCATAACACGATATTATTGTGCCTTTTCTTGGTATTTCTCAGTTCTGACCCTAAAAAACAGAAACAACAACAGCAACAGAAAACAGGGATACTCGTGTGTCTGAATGACAAAGCCATTAAGGGTGACCTAAGACCTTTCCTCTTACTTTTAATTGAGGGGTAAGAGATAGGAAAACTGAGTGGCAAAGGAAGAAATGTCTTAAATTATATGTTTCATCTGAGATGGAAACATTTTCTAGATGGGGTGCTTCCAAAACACTCACTGAAGCAAATAAACACTGAATTTCAAAAGAACAAAAGTACTGGCGATAACACACTCCTCTCTGTCCCCCAACCCAAGCAACTGAATCAGAGATAAAACAACTAATGATGCTTGCCAATTTACTTAACACTTAGCTAAATTTAAAACAAAACAAAACAACACACCGGTTTTTAAATGGCAGTATATATGGTAGGCAACAAGACTTCCATATACCTGATATGATTTTAATATTCTTCTGACAGGATGCTCCACAAGTCCCACAATTTTTCAACTAAAGTCATCAGCTTTTTTGTTTTTTTGGTGGAGAGAAGGAAGGGTCAAATCTAGCACATCTTCATAGTGACTACGTAAAAGAAGAATATAAATCCAACTCTAAAACAAGGTTTTCTATTCAAATCAATTTAAAACTTTATAGAAACCTAAATGTTGCAAGAGAATCTAGTCCTTTTATGAAAATCAGTTCTACATTAAGTTCACCCAAATAAAATGGTGGCTAAGCTAAAGAAATCACAGATAAAACACTTTACCGAAGGAAAGTATAATTAACACAACAAAATTTCTATCACAGGAAACTATGATCATCTAGAATCTTTTCAATAATAGTTCTAGTCCCATAGGTCTTTTTATGTTATTCCAATTTGTACCAGAGTTTAATGACAGAAAAGGCAACAATTTCTAAATTGGCGGTATACACTTCTTTATGATTTTTTTTCATGTAAGGCCATTTATTAAAATAGACAAACCACAAGATGAAAATGAAGGCAACAGAAAAATTCAACTTTTCACAACCAGAAAAAGCACAACCTCAAAAACAATTTAGAAATAAGTGTTGTAAAAGATATGTTGCAGATCTGCATTCCAATACCCAAGATTATGTCAAATCATAGTTCTAAATAAATCCTTCTGAAGGATGAGATTAAAAATCATTTTCAGTGTATGTGTAAATTCTGCGTTTTATCATACGGGTATGTTTATTCAACACGATCTTTGAAAACGGGCCATTTAAAGAGACATGACAATATTCATTCTGTAAGTTTCATTCAACTTTACTTAGGGTTGAATACACATGAAATGTGCTTTTAATGCATAAAAATCATAGTGGATAGCAGCAAAGGACTTGGGGGGCGGTTAAGGAGAATCTGATAATTCACATTGTGATTATTCTGCACATTTATGAAAGATAATTCACACTTCCAAAACCTCAAGACTTCCCTTTTTAAAGAACCAAAATAAACCCAAGACACCTTGCTGACACTTCCCCACCCCTAAACAAATTGATTACTTTTACACATAAAACTGAAATAGTATGCAGCAAAAAATGTTGATAGCAATGAAAGTTTGTAAACTGTATCTCAATCTCTTTTCCTTATTCCCAAAGTGCGAGATGCAGGGCTCTCATAATTTTCAGTAGTGCTTCTCCTGTAAGTAATCCTTCATTTTGTTTGGCAAAGGCAGTTTCTGAATCAAGTCTATTCTGGTATATTGACGTATAACGAAGCGACACAGGTACTGCAAAGAACGCACCTGCATGAACCGCGATACGGGATTGGTCAGTCTGACCGGGTAAGTTGCAGACCCAGGCAAGCGAGATCTCGAGTAACAAAAAGCTCCATTCTCAGAGTCCCTGATTGAATGCTCAATGAGATCAACTATAGATGTATGTCCTTCCACATCCGGCTGTTCATAAAAGCTAAACCTACCATTGGAGTGTTCAATTCTCGTGTGAAGTGTTTTGCCATGGGAGCGAAAGCTCAAGCTCAACAGGTAACGGTCATCAGAACTATCCCGAACAAGGAAAGAGCCATCTGGCACATTTGCTAGCTTCCCTTCTGCCTCCCAGCGTGTGATGGGTCCCCAGTACCATCCTTGTTTCGCGAGTTTTTTCAGCTCCTCTGTAAGGCTTGTCACCACCATGGGACCACTGCTCTGCACGGAGTCATATACTCTTGCAACCCCAGGGGCAGAGTTAGGATCAAAATTCAAATGACAGCGCATACTTTCAGCCATGTGGGCATCTGTGCCGGTGAGCCCACTGAAGTTCCTTTGGATTTGATTGGTCTGCATTGGAGGTAGCAACGGTGAGAGTGGGGGTGCGTCGTCATGACTCGCTCTGGGGCTCTGCAACATGACTCCCGTGGTGCCAATCAACAAGCCACTCACCGCCTGATCCACAAAGATCTCCGGGGCCACCACGAGGTCCTGGTCTACCTGATTCTCATCCTCGGTGAAGGAGCTCCCTCCCACTGGCGGAGGGACCGCAGAGACTTCCATGGGAGAAGAACTGTCCAGACAATAGCTACGCGATCCTTCCAAAGGGTACATCCCCTCATCTAAAGGCACAGTATACTGAATGTAGTCCTGAGGCATAAGTCCGATAACTACAGGCACATGTTCATCAAGGTGAAGATGCAGGTCTCCATTCTGAGATTCCGAACTCTTGAGGGAATTACTCTGGTCCTGGCACACGGTTTCAGACTGAAGGTCGTGAAAATCCTTCCGAACACCATTCAGGGCCGGGCTCGGACTGGAAGAGTGAACCAAGGCTTTGACTCTCACCTCCATTTTGATGCACGTCTCCTCCGAGTTTGTAGGGCGCAGGGGCCACGGCGTGGGGCTGTAGTGATGGCTGCGGAGCGACGTGGACCTGATGGGCCTCTGAGCGCGCACATCCTTGAAGACCAGGGGCGCCGAGGACGAGGAAAAGGTGTCCTCGTCGGCAGAACCTCCAGAGGCCGCGCCGCCCTTGCCCTTCTGCTTCTGTTTCGCAGACAGCCGCCGTTTCAACGTACCCATGAGGCTTTCACTTTTTGATCGGCTTTTTCCACCTTTCTCGTCTTCGTTGCTGATATCACAGCTGGCCATATCTTTACCATAGCAGCTACCAAATAAGGAATCGTCTTTTCCAAAATCGCTGGCGAGTGACGGTTGCTGGACTACCATGAAATCCGTTTCTTCTTTACTTTTATTCAAGTTGAAAGATTTTCGGAAGGTTTTAAGACTGATTTTCTTCATTATGACTAGTTACCTACTCCAAGAGGATCACGTTCTCTCCGGAATACTCCCCACACACACCTGGTGAGGCTGCAATGCTGCATCTACGTACTGTTCCAGCTTCATACACCCTTTGGAGCTATTCTCTAAAAAATAAAACCTAAAATTAAAAAAAAAAGTCACATTACAAAATATTTCCACAGCAATTTTATTTTAATCAGTTTCAGTCCTTTAGCTTCTGAACAAGGCCACGTGAGTGCTCGCAACAAGGTTAGCTCTGTTAGCGCAGGGGCGCTTCCACCCCCACCCCCACCGCCGGGGCACAGGAAGAGCTCACAGTCCACTATGTGGTCAGCGTCTGACCAACATCTCAAAATGCCTAAAGAACAAACCCTAATCTCCCCCTTTCCTTTTTGCGCCTTGCTTTTGAGCAAGAGTCCATGTTCTTGTCCTTCCTAACACGACGCCGCTAGACCGCTGCTCAGCTACTGCACCAGCTCGCGCTGTCCCCGGCCTGTCCCCAGCCGCCAGCCTGCATCACCAACAGCACACACTCAGCGAAGGCGACACCAAGTCGAACTGGCAGAATAACCAGTCTGGCTGATGCCTCAACAGTTTATGCACGCTTGCAAATATTTAAACATCTGTAAAAATCCATAAGAAGAATCCCATCATCTGGGATAACCTGGAGAAAGTCCAGAGATGGCCCTTTATGCCTCTGAGTTCCAAGAGGAAGACTCTCCAGCTTCACCCTCCCGGTGCCCAGCACAGCCTGAGACACACTCACCTTGGGGGCACACCCAGCAAAAGCCGGATTCGTCTAAGTGTCGGTCTCTTTTGAAGAAGATGATGAAGCATATTTCCAGAATGATTATTTCTTCCTCTTCTTTTTTTTTTTTTTTTTTTAGTTTCCCCTGGCAAATTTTTACTTCGGATCTAAGAATGTATTTTCTAAACTATCTTGTACAACATTCCACCATTGAAAAGATAGGATTTTAATTCTGCAAAGACTTTCTGAATGTCATCTTACAGGGAAAAATTTTGGTCCCAGAAGTAATACTGATAACAGTTGTAACTGCTTTGCAAAGATCTTCTGTTTAAACTACACATAATGTTTTATTTCCTCTCTGTCCAAGCTCTGCAGTTTCTACAACCATCAAAGTATAATGCCCTAACAGGATGATTAGCTTGAGTTGAGCAAAATGCTAATAAAACTAAGAGCAAGCTTCTAATCTCCCCACCCATCAGTTTAGCACCACTCTGTTTCTTGGCAAAAGACTATACCTCTAAGCTTGATGACACTCACGAATTCACTATGCATTTCCTAAGTCCCCGCTACGTACCCAGCACTGTACGGTCATATACAGATTAATAAACCGTTCATGGTCTCATAATCGAGTAGCACAGAGAAATGTATGAATGGATAAATTATAAGACAAACCAATTAGTAATATACTGATGATAACACGGTGGGAACTGAGGGGAGAGATATCTTACAAACATTTACTTTACAGATAGACAGGATTTGGTTACTGTGCACATAAAATCTGCATGAATCATTTTTAATAAAAACCACTCACATCAGACAATCTATCAGGGGATCAGCAATAGCATCTCCATAAAGGAAAAAGGAATTTTAAAAAGTCTCACTGTCATGTACCATGTTTTCGAGCAAGTTGTAAAAAATAAAATGCATGTAAGTACTTGGAGTGCCAGTTACTTTTAAACACATTAAGTTAAACATATTACGTTGTATATTAGGTGAACTCACTATCCAAGTACCATTATCTTCCACCTAAGCATAAGCATGTAATATTTAAGTTATTAACAATTTTAATTTGTTTGACGAAAATATGGCCATTCATAAACATGAAATGGAGAATATAATGACAACACACTTCTGTTGGCAAGTCACTCCTTTTGAGTAGACAGTATAGGTTTTGTAGCCAAAGAGAGATTCCAATATGGAATCTCTTCTGATAAGAATAACAATCCACACACTGTGGCTGTTATAGGTACATAAGTATAAAACCGCCACGCAGCCGACTTGAGATTTTGTTGATGTATGATTAAGATGAATTACGACCTGTCATTAGAAAGAGGCTGATATGAAATGCAAGTAAAGTAAAATAAGCTGTTCACTCGGGAATAACAAAATGTGTAAAATTATGTTGAAATTTTAAAAGGTCAACAAGAAAAAAAATCAATAGAAAGGAGCCAATATTCTGCATATCATGGAAATAATAAATAGTAAGTAAAAATGAACAAAATGGCTTTCTGGTAAAAATCAGCCTAATGTGTTTCCATCACATGAGCCCAATCCATGGGCTTGTGGATGAGCCAGCCCTGGGCCCTGACCATGGCAACCTGCACCGCCAACTATGTGACCACTCCAGGAGTCGTCAACCAATGATGTCACAGAACCTACCACACTTAGCATTTCCATACTAATTATCATATCAACTTGCCTTTCTACAGAAATATTTTAGGAAGGCAGACATACGTATCTTCATGAAAATCTGTACATTGCATGTGCACGTCCTTCATGACAGTATGAAGTTTTTTAAAAATGCCTTGAAGTTATATATTCTGCTGCAACTAAATACTACTCCAGAGTAACATAAAATAATTCTGTAATACTACATATGTGTGTGCCATGGAAATATCTGCAGAAATCTTTGCAAATAAAGAAACACTATCACACACAGAAGCAGGTCCATGCATACATGGAAACCTGACACGTGACAGAAAGCAAACCGATGGCAAAGGACACAATTCAGTCCTCGCATGAAGACGACCGGTTATACATCTGGAAAAATGAGAAAACTGGATGCCATACCTCACCCCAGCAGTGAAAATAAATTTATAAGTAGATTAAAATCTAATTGTGAAAATCTCATTTTAGTTAGAACAAAATATAAAGTATCTTTAAGACTCTGAGATAGGAATAACATGTCTTAATCAAGGCACAAAAAGGATAAAGAATAAAATCAGGGGTGCCTGGCTGGCTCAGTATGAAGAGCATGTGACTCTTGATCTTGGGGTTGTAAGTTTAAGCCCCATGTTGGGTGTAGAGATTACTTTAAAAAATAAAAACTTAAAAAAAAAAACAATAAAACTTCAGTTCAAAAGACACCACAAAGGGACTGAGATCATCTGTCAAATTCTTTTGTGAAGCTAAGAAAAACAGGACAACCTAAGTATACTGAAAGGTCTATTAACTTCATTGAATCAAAGAGAACTTCTTTTTTTTTAAGATTTTATTTATCTACTTGACAGAGAGAGAGAGAGCAAGCAGGGGGAGCTGCAGGCAGAGGGAGAGGGAGAAGCAGTCTCCCCACTGAGCAGGGAGACGGATGCGGGGTTCGATCCCAGGATCCCAGGATCACGACCCCAGCCGAAGGCAGATACCTAATGACTAAGCCACCCAAGGGCTCCCAGAGAGAACTTTTAAGTACAATTCTTCATAGCAGTAGAAATTGCATTTATTTGTCTTAACAGGCTGAAATGGTGACCTGTGGACTAATAAAACCTCCTGTGTTAGTGATAATTTTCTGGCTCACTAGCATAATGAATCCAAGTTTGTTCATAAAAGAACTGGGCATCAGTTCACACAGAGATTAAGAAAATTTAATTACCAATAGCTATAAAACATAAAACTAAAGGATGCAAACATGAGACAAAACAAACATGTTCAGCCCCAGTAACAGGCATGTTGCAAAGAAAGTACTGTTTGCAATAATTATGGAAAATCAGCAAATTCTTGACAAACTAGGTCAATGGATCAACATCCAGAATGGCTTTTATATGGTCTGTCTGGAGTGTCACTCCAACGTCTCTCAAACCCAAAAATGTAAATCAACCTAAAGCCTGACGCATAGGCTCAAGCCCAGTTAATTTTCTAAGAATGGTGTAAAGTGTTAGCTCAGTTTTGATCTTAATAACAAAGGCTTTTGTTTTCCTGCTTCTGTGCCTGCTTATGCTATTCCCTCCTCCTGATAAATGTTCTCTTTCTTTTTCCTAATCCACCTTTCAGATAATTCCTTAAAAAAATATTCTTCCTGAAATCTGTTCTGATCACCCAGCCAGAGGGGAGTTCTCTCTCCCTTCTCTGAACTCCAAATACTCAACTTGCACTTATTTAATAGTATGTCACATAGTGACCTAGAATTGCTTGCATATTCTATTCATATCTTATTCCCCAGATTGTAGTGCTTGAAGATAGAGACCATGCCTCATTCGTTTTTATATTCCTAACCAGGAACTACCATTACATATTTAATATATACTGCTTAAATTCTTTGATGCCAAATAAGTACTCCTTGACTATTAAGTAAATGATAGGAATGATGGGATAGGGAAATCACACTGTACAAAACTGGCTAAATCTCCTCTTATCAAAATGGAGCAACTGATCTTCTGCAAAATCAAAAGTCGTTATTACAAATGATGCAGGACTGGCAATTCCATCTAAAAAGGCCACATGGAAAAACACCTGCCAATCAGTGTCAAGTTCTACCACACAGAATCTATTCCCACACTTTCACATGGCATGTGTTCCGTGTTCAGGCATGTAAAGGCTACTGAAGAAATTCTACCAAATAAATACCAGTCAAGAGAAAGAAGTAAAAATACTAAATGCCACCCCCCTAATTACTTACTTCCACATAGTTACAGAAGTACATCTAAAAATAAAAAATGTTTTGCTTTCTGAAAGTTGAGCATGGGTGAAAAACAGAGCATTCATGGCATTATCAATATATGAATCATGCTATCATCAGGAAATAAAAGTTGTACAAAGTATCTGAATCTTACAGTAGGTACTACAGACTTCCTTTCTGTTGTAAGCTACTTTTCATAAAGCTCTCTACAGTCTTTCCCCCCTCCACGTGTAAGATACTCCATCAGATCCAAGAGAAGTTAAGCTGTTTGATATAAAACTAAGAGATGATACCTGTGAGCTCCAAGAAAGGTCAAGGAAATGATAGGACAAGGCTGGACAGAGACGGTCTGATACAGTATCCGTTAGCAGTAAACTCTGAACATGACCAACAATTAAAAGCTGTCAGTCAGACTAGACTGTAAACAAAGAGACAGGGGAGGGCATATGGTGACTCCTAACTTAGCTTCCCAGCTGCACCCTGACTGCCTGATGTTAGG